AGTTGTGGCTTCTGGGTTCTATAGCACAGGCTCAGTAGTTGCATGGGCTTAGTTGCTCCCACGGCATGTGGGATCTTCCTGGACCTGGGATTGAACCCGCATCTCCTGCACTGGCAGATGGATTCTTTACCATTGAGCCACCCAGGGAAGCTCTGTCACTGGCTTTAAACAGGCCCCCTTTTCCTCAAATCTCTGCCAACTCTACTTCCTCCAGTTTGTTTTCTTTTAATATTTATTTACGTATCTGGCTGTGTTGGGTCTTTATTGCATCATGTGGGAACCTTTTGTTGTGCTGTGTGGCTTCAGTAGTTTTGGTACAAGTTCTTAGCTGCGCCAAGGCATGTGGGATCTTTGTTCCCCAACCCAGGATCAAACCCTTGCATTGTGAGGCAGATTCTTAAATTCCTTCAATTCCTCCAATTTTTGAGATGCCCTGAACAACTTATCTTTTCTCATCCTTTCTCCTCCTGGACACATTCACCTTTTGTTCTTATTTATTTTCACACCAACCAGCTTAAAAACTTGACACCTAGTGAGCACACAAGAATAGCTGTCAATCTTTGTCAAATGAATCACTCTTTCAGTTCACTTTAGAGCCACCTGTAATTGTGTCTGTACTGTGGTGTTAAGAATAGGCAGATTAAAAAAAAATTAAAAGAGAAACATCAATTTTTATGATGATTAAAAGTAAGAGAATCCAAGCTCATTGCAGAAAACTTGCAAAGAGAATGGGTAGGCATAATGCCACCAACTCAGGCACAGGCATTGATACTTAAGGTGACAAATTGTCAAATTTTGCAGTAGATGAAGCTGAATCCTGAAAAAGAGGTATATAATTTTAGTTTAGTTTTGTTTCTATGGACGTTCAGGTAAGGTCTGGAATGGGTGTAGGTTAGAGAGTAGATCTGGAGACCCTCAAGGTAAAATCCTGGGAGTAAGAGTATAAACTCCTCTTGCATGACCTACAAACCTTCTTAGCTTTCCTTCTGGAGGACAGTTGATAACTGGGACATCTGCTCTGTGAGAGGGGTGGAGGTGAGGCATTCTAATCCCACAGCTAATCAAGGAGGAGTGAGTGTAAACTTCCCCTTCCAGGATTTTCAGTTTGTTTTTTTCCAGCTTAGCCCACCTGTTACCAGATAAAGATTCCTTAACAGTAACTTACTCAAATCTTCTTAACACAACTTAAAGTCCAGCAAACACAATTTACATTACTTTTTCCTGGACTAAAGTTGATTTTTGCATTTACTGAGCAAAAATAATTGGACTGTGGCCCTTTGCAAAACAGTAAGAGAACTATTTTCTGGATGGGTGAGGGAGAAATGGGAGGAGCAGGTGTATGTGTAAGTCACTTTAGAGATGAAACTTGGCCTAAACACCATCTTTAGTATGAAAAATGGGTAGGCTATTTTGTGAACTGGATTTCAGAGCTCCATGGAGGGGCTTGTATTTCAGACTGGGAAGGAGGTGTCCCAAGAACCCCTCCCTTCCGTCAATTTTTTTGGAGGCTCAACAAAGTGACAGAAGGCAAACCATTGTGGTTACAGAAGCATTAATCCCTTTGGTAAATGTACTTTGTGAGCAGACAGATAAGTGACAAATGACTAATCAAATAGAAGCTTGTGGAGGTTTCGCTTTATTCTTTCCCATTAAAAAACTGGTAGGAGGAACATGTTTTCTCACATGAAGGCAAAGCGTTCCTAACTTAAAAAATCTAAACCCCGTTTTTAATTGGTTTGTTTAGTTTAAAAAACTAAATGGGATTCTTGTGAAGTATAAAATATTTAGGACTAATTATTGTTCTGTGATTTCCAATGAGGGATAATGTGTCTAAGGATTATGAGGGGTTGGGGGGAAGGAAGGAAGGGAGAGAGGGAGGGGGAAGGGAGGGAAAAGTCATCAGAGAAGCTATGAGGATTCTACTTTTTTTCAAATCCAATGGTCAGAATATTATGTTTTAAAACTTTGGAATAAGGCCTGTTTGTGGTTTAATGTTACATCTGACTGTTCTGGTTGGAAAAAACTGGATACTGGAAACCAAACTAGAAACAAATCTTTCTAGACTTTATTCCCTCATCTTCCTATTCAGTTCTCTCTGTCTCTCTCTCTTCACACACACACAGGAGAAGGAAATAATTTGCCTTAAAGTCCATTGTAGCCATGACTTTTTTTAAAGTCATGTTTTTCTTTATAGTCAGTAAAGTAAAACAACATTCCTATAGACCTCAAAGAGAGATACTGATTTGGTGAATATGCTCTCTGAACCAAGGGAAAATAAAAATCAGCGCACATTGTCCGACAAGTTCATATTGAAGAAACTGATAGAAATGTTTGAGGGTAGGACTGTCCAAAAGAGAAAATGTACCACAGTTACTGCTGTAACAGGGGCTAGCAGAACTAAAAGCTTTAAAGCCCCATCTAAGCATAAATGTGGGGCTTCCCAGGTGGCCCTTGTGGTGAAGAATCTGCCTGCTAATGCAGGAGACACAAGAGACGCAGGTTCGATCCCTGGGTCAGGAAAAACTCCTGGAGGAGGGCATGGCAACCCAGTCCAGTATTCTTGCCCATTGACAGAGGAGCCTGGTGGGCTACAGCCCATGGGGTCACAAAGAGTCAGGCACAACTGAACGACTCAGCACACACACAAACATAAAATGTAATTCTTCTCTGTGGTAAAAAGAAAATGTTTAACCATAAGAGCAGAAATAGCTAGAAAGTAAAATATAATTGGGCATAATTCTGAGACTTCTTAGCCCTTTCAGTAAACAAACCATTTAGCCCAGAGAAGGTGTTACTGCTGAGGCAAGCAGAGAATTAACTCTAATCTTATCCAGAAGTGCCTGGGTGTCTGGAATTGGCTGCAATATAATATAGGAGAGAAGGAGGTTGGTGAGGGTATAGATGAAGCAAGAGTGGCCATGGGTTGATAATTGTTGAAGTTGGGTGATTAGAATTTGGGGATTTATTACTCCACTATTACATTTACATTTTTACATTATTAAAAAAAAAAGATATTCTAGGCAGGACAAAACCCTTGTTTTTGAGATCACCTGGCTATTTTTAAGATTTTTTTTTTTTTTAATAAAATGTATTCAGGACTTCCTTAGCAGTCCAGTGGTTAAGACGCCACACTTCCAATGCAGGGACTCGGATTCAATCCCTCGTCAGGGAACTAAGATCTCACAAGCCACATGGTGAAACAAACAAACAAAAAAGCATTGGAGACTGGCAGACATATGTATGCATTTGTTGCCAAGTGCAAGCAGAGTGGGAGAGACAAACAGGGACTGATTTAGACATTCATTTCCCTCTGCTAATCGACCCTGTTGAAGTGGGTTGCTCTCCTGAGCTTCCAAGATGGACTGGAAAAATAAAACAAAATGTATGTAAGTTTTAAAAGTGGATCCAAGTAGCTTGGCAGTAAATGTGTTTTTCTCCCTTTTAAGAGAATACAGAATAATCATTTTGGCTTTTGCATGACATCCCGTGGAAAGCTGATGAAACAGTTTAGGAAACAGCTTGTCCCCTGTACCAACACACCCACCATTAGAAGAGAAAGCCTTTACTTGAGCGATCCATGCCGTTTACCAGGTATGTGGACTCCAGCCCTACACCCACAACTTTTGCTCATTCATTTTGAGAAAAGCATATTGCTCTCTTCTTATATATTCTAATGTTGGCCAAATTTTCTGTAAAATGTGCCTGCATCAGGATTAACCTTTCCAGTTTTGCAGATCTGGCCATCCAATTCAGCAGGGTAAATGGTTTGACACCCTTTGATACTTCTTGGAAATAGCAGCAAATAATGAAATCCCAGGGTGTCACTGGGGGTTATTTACACTTGCTAATGATTAACTGTCCCTGGTTCTTGGACTGCAGAATCAGACTTTCAAGGCCCCTAATACATCTCATCCTATTTTAGACCCTCGCTTAGGTTTTCATAGAAGATCTTCAAAAATCCCCCTCCAGCTCAAACCAGGACAAAACCTGTGTCCAATAAATGGGGTTTGGTACATAAATTATATCCATAGTTACAATGGACTATTATTTAGTCATCAAAAATGATAGATCCACCTTGTAAAAAAATGTTAAAAGAAATTTTTTATTTTGGGGGGCCATGTAGCATGTGGGATCTTAGTTTTCCAACCAGGACTCGAACCTCCATCCCCTGCAGTGGAAATGCAGAGTCTTAACCACTGTCCACCAGGGAATTTCTAAAAGAAATTATTTAAAGAAGGAAAATAAGTCAGAAACTCAGATCTCCATAAAGAAAGGAAGAGCTCGGAAGAAGGAATAAGGTAAGGTAAAATCAAATGATAATGATCAGTCTAGACTGGGCACCTGCCTTCTCCAACTTCATCTCGTACACTTTGTCTCTGTCTCTCATATATCAGGTTTGTACAAAAAAGTATAAGATGAAAAACAGACCCTCTTTATGCATCTCATTCTCTTCCCCTCTTCCTCCAAAGGTAGACTTTGTTAATATTTCCCTGAGGATCATTCCAAAAAACTGCACAGAAAAAATTGTACACAAAAGGAATAGTGCTACAATGTTCTGTACTTTGCTTAAAAACAACTTATATATATTATCAACTTTTCTCTTTCAGCGCAGTCTAATTTACTTTGCTGTTACAATGACTGCACACTAACCTTTTCATTTTTTTTTCATGTTTCTGTTTATTTGGATTCTTTTTTTTTTTTTTTAATGTGAACTGCTTATCTATAGACTTTGCCCAACTTTTTAAAAACAGGATTCTTTTTTCCTCTGACTTAAATGAGTTCTGCATAAGTTCGGTAAATTGATCTTCTGCCTGACATGTGCTGACAGTATTTTTTCCCAGTTGTTTTGCTTTTGAAAATTTTATGAATTTTCCCTCACAAGTTAAAAAAAAAAAAAACCAAAATACTTATACACATATGTATCTTTTATGACACACATGTGTGTCTTGGATTTTCTGTCCTGGTTAGAAAGGCCTTCCCCACTCCCTGATTGTACTCACGCCTCCTTCCAGGACAAGTTGTCTCTGACTTTCAGACAGGATGATCTTTCCCTGGAGGTCTAGCCTGTGTGCGGTGAAATGGCAACACCCTGGTCTCCATCCGCCAGAGGCCAGAAGCATTTCCTCCCCTCCAACTGTGACCACTGGCAATGTCTCCAGACGTCTCAAATGTCCCCTGGGAGGCAAAGATGCCACATGTATTCCACCGGGAGAACCACTGTTCTAGAACATACAGAGGTGCATTATTAATTACTCTCACATTTCAATCTTGATTCAGATGCGTTTTATTTTTGTTAGAGTAACATAGCCAGCTTGATTTTTTGTTTTTTTTTTAATTTTATTTTTAATTGGAGGATACTTGCTTTACAGTGTTGTGTTGGTTTCTGTCATACAACCACATGAATCAGCCATAAGCATACATGTCCCTTCCCTCTTGAATCTCCCTCCCACTCTCCCACCAGTTTGATTTTTAACTAAAAGTAGTTCACTGTCCCAATTCAATTTATCTCTGAAAAGTCACCTTAACCAAAATTGAAATGTCCATATCATATTCTAAACTGTCAAATTGTTCTTTGTGCCCTCATTATTTAATCTCATTATTAACTTCAAAATACACTGTAATATTTGAAGGGGCTTCTGCTGCCCTCCTCCCATCCCTAACTCATCTTTCAGAATTTCCCTGGCTTTCTCCAGATGCTTAATTTTGATGAAGTGTAGCAATTAAAGAAAAAAAAAATCCTGTTGGTATTTTAATAGAAATTGCTTTGAATTTAAAGATCAGTTCAGGGAGGATAAACATCTTTATGCTTTTGTTATTGAATCTTGCTGGAAGGGATAAATTATGTCTTTTATTTTACTTAAGTCTTCCTTTATGTCCCTCAGTAGGGTTTTAAAGTTTTCTTCATAAAATTTGCACTTATTTCTTGTTAATTTTATTCCTAGATATTTCATCATTCTATTGCTGTTATAAATGGGTCCTCTATAGCTTTCAGAAGAGGTAATGGTGATAAATGGAAATGTGTGAGTGGATTAACCCTTTGATGGAAAGAGGAGAAAGGGACTAAGTTAACAGGTACAGTATTCTGAAAGTCTTACTTTGACCTCATAAATTTGATACTTACCCCAAACAACATGTATGTATTTTTTTCTTTTTTTAATCGGGATGCATCTTCCCCCTGTATTCACTATTGGTTCATCTAACCCTGTCCCTTTAGTTCTCGGTCAAATGCTTTTAGGCTTATACAAAAACAGGTTGGTTCTTACCATTTTAAAAAGAGAAGAAAGGGAATTCCCTGGCGGTCCAGTGGTCAGGACTTCACGCTTTCACTGATGAGGGCCCCGCTTCAGTCCCTGGTCAGAGAGCTAAGATCCCCACCAGCAGCACAGGCAAAAAAGAAGAGAGAAAGAAGGAAAAAAACCCAACAAAATAGAAAACTTGACAAAAGTTACAAATAAGTGAATAGAAGAAATAAATACACAAAAACATGCTCACCCTCTCAAACCAAGACATGGGAACCTTAAAAAAAAAGAGCTGTCATTTATTTGCCTAAGAGATTGGCAAATATGAAGTTCATTTATGTATCTTTCAGCTGCTGCACCGCATTTGGGTCTTAGCTTCCTGGATTGGCAGGGTAGAGCCTCGACCACTGGGCTGCCAGGGAAGTCCTTTGAAATTGGTGATATGCAGCGTTAGTTAGGGTGTAGATAAAGAGGTTTTCAAATACCTAAGAAGATTGGGTGGGCAATTCGGCAACATCTGTGAAAATTCTGAATGCACAGACCTTTGACTTAGCTAGGGACTCCTACAAATATACTCTCACAAGCCCCTGAAGACCTGCATACAAGCTGACATCCTGCTCAGGTATTCTGGTTCATTTTACAATCCGAAGGAGCTCTTGGGATTGGTTGGTGTCTGCGCTCCATCAGTTGTTAAATATTTTAAACATAATTGGACTATCTCTTAGTGCTTAGTTACAAACTAGACACTAGACACTTTTAATGCTTAGCACTAAAGCTACTGTTACGTAAATGAAAAAAGCAAATTGCAGAATATCATTATTGTTTGGATCAGGAACCAGGGGTCAGAACGGGGTGGGGATGGAGGGGACGAAAGATTGACCTGCCATTCTTCACCTGGCAGCTAGGGATGATGATAAGGTGTGCTTCTTAGAATGTTGTCAGGAATAAAGATAAAATATGTGAAGTATTTAACACTGCCTGGCATGCTATTTACAATAATGGATTGTATTCTTATGAATGATTCTTACCATTTCATTTTCATGCATCATTTTGTTTGATAAATATTTATTGGGTCCCTATGATGTGGGAGGTCCTGTACCAACTGCACAAAGATTTAGTAATGCGCGCACATTTTAGTAGGGGAAGAGTGAAAGAAGAAAGTGCTAGTCGCTCAGTCATGGCCACATCTTTGCGACCCCATGGTCTGTCCATGGGATTCTCCAGGACAGAGAATTCACTGGAGTCGATTGCCATTCCCTTTTCCAGGGATCTTCCTGACCCAGGGATTGAACCTGTGTGTTCTGCATTGCAGGCAGCTGCTTTACCATCTGAGCTACCAGGGAGGGTCCCGGGTGGGTGGTGTCAAAGGACAAGCACATCAACAGTCAAATAAGCAAAATAGTTAAAAAATGTGGTGTTGTGGAAGAAAGAAAGGATTGAGTTAGACCTGTGGTTCTCAACCAGGGGTCTTCCCGCCCACCCCAATTTCTGTCCCCTCTGGAGGACATTGGGAATGTCTGGAGTTTTTTGTTTGCTTGTTTGTTTTCTCACAACCTAGGGGCAAGGTGTTACCGGCCGGATTGGTTAGCCATCAGGGAAACCCCCTACAACCAAGAGTTTTTGTTGTTCAGTTGCTAAGTTGTGTCCGACTCTCCAACCCCATGGTCAGCAGCACACCAAGCTTCCCTGTCCTTCACCATCTTCAGGAGTTTGCTCAAACTCATGTCCACTGAGTCGGTGATGCCATCCTACCACCTCATCCTGTCACTCCCATCTCCTTCTGCCTTCAATCTTTCCCAGCATCAGGGTCTTTTCCAGTGAGTTGGCTCTTCGCATCAGGTGGCAAAGTATTGGAGCTTCAGCATCACCACATGATTACTGGAAAAATCACAGTTTTGCCTCTACGGAACTAACTGCCAGGGAAGCTCCCTACAACCAAGAGTTATCCAGCCCTAAACAGCAGTTGAGAACCCCTGAGCTAGACAGTGGCAGCAAGGGTAACTACATTTAGGTGAAGTGGTTACAGAAGACTCCTCTGCGAAGATGATTTAGGCCAAACTTTGGGCTTCCCAGGTGGCGCTAGTGGTAAAGAATCCCTGTCAATGCAGCAGACCTAGAGATGAGTGGGGAAGATCCCCTGGGCATGGCAACCCACTTCAGTATTCTTGCCTGGAGAATCCCCATGGACAGAGGAGACTGGCGGGACAGAGGAATCCCACGACTTACGCACATGCAGGCCACCCTTTGATGAGAAACAGATATGCTGCCAGTCCTGTGCGGCTATCCCAGGCAGAGTGGACTTGAAAACAACTAATAACAATGAAAAACCCCCTTACATTTGTATGTAGTATACATATGCATATATGGAGAGTGAAATAGTCAATTAAGAGGTCTTTCCTATTTCACTTTGTATACTTTCCTGCTTGTAGTTTTGAAAACAAGCTTCCTCCTCTTTTTGTTTTTGTAAAGAAAAAATGAGTGGTTTAAAAAAAGGACAAAATGCAGGTAGATTGGAAGCGAGCTTCTGGTAAAACTCCACGTAGATTTCGGAGAAGAGGCAGGTTTTAGAGTAGCCTCCCCGTGTTCAGATGGCCCTTGTGTTATAATCTATGGTCAGTTTCTGCCCTATACTGCCTTCTTTATCCACCAGACATGCCTGAGAACACTTGGTTTAAAGTCTGGGCTTTCCTGGTAACTGAGTGATAAACTATATGCCTGCAATGCAGGAGACACTAGTTCGATCCCTGGGTGGGGAAGATCCCCTGGAGAGAAGGAAATAGCAACCCACTCCAGTATTCTTGCCTGGAAAATCCCATGGTCAGAGGAGCCCGGCTGGCCACAGTTTATGAGGTTGGACACCACTTAGCAACTAAACAACAATTTAAGTCCAGTACTTGGTTTTATACCTTTTAGCTTTGTTATATTTGGATGGGTTATCTTGACTTTAGGGGAAAAATCATAATTACCTACCTTATTAAATGAATGTTAAATGAGGTCATTTAAACTGTTTCTTAAATTGTAAAGCACAATACTACACTTGGTCTTAGCCAAAAGGGCAGAAAAGCGATGGGGTCACAGAGTCGGACAGGACTGAGCGGCTGAACTGAACTGAAAGCACAACATAGAAACACGATGTTGAGAATAGAGAGGTTAAAAAGAAAAAAGAAGAAAAGGAGAACAGAGAGGTTCAAGGCTGTGCTCAACAACGATCTTTTTTTCATTGTCCTGATGAATTCAAATGCCCTCTAGGTAAAGAAAAAGGAGGCCTGTGGCTACAGAGGGAAAAAGAGGGGGAGGGGGCTGGGAAGGGAAACGCAGGCTAGGAGAAAAGAGATTACAAATAGTAGTAGCATTACAAGTTAAGTATTCAGGTAACTGAGGGGAGGAGAGTTATCCTGATAAGACTGATATAATCACCACACTGATGGGTTGAGTCCTTGAAAAGACAATGGGTGGCTTCTCCTTGAGCAGCCCAAGACCCTCTGACCTGAGATGTGAAGAGATGATTATAGAACCCTTCTGTGGAGCCCAGCAGTCTGCGTATTTTACTTAAAAAAAAAAAAAAAAAAATCTGTCCCTTAGTGAGGAGATTCAAAAGGGATCCAGTTACAGTGAGTCATCCTTCTTCCACCTAAGACAGTGCTGGGTGGAATCAGGCTTTATTATCCAGTCACTTGATGGACCAAGTATCAAAACAATAGCACAGAATGTATTGATGCACTTTCCTGGATTATTTGCCTTTCCAAGTTTCATTTTTGAGTTTTTGCCTTTGAAGAGTTTGCAGCTATGAAAAGTAACTTAAGTCTGTGTCTTTTCTTGACCTTGAGGCAGCCTGGGAAGGTAAGATACCACATGGAACTATGTGTGCTTGGAGGGAAAAAAAAAAAAAATGGTGTAAAACGTGATCAAGTACCTCCTCTCCCTTCTCAGGCAACTTTCCAATATAGTTAATATTCATATGAAGTCAGCAAATAATATGTAGTCAATGTGAATCCACATTCTCCGCCCCCACCCCCCGAAACATGGTAAAGAATCTTTAAAAGTCACTGGATCCGTTTTAAAGAGAGGCCCTGCCTGGTACATGAAGGGACTCACAGAGCCATAACTGAAACTTGTTTTTCCACCTTGAGAGACGCAAATAAACAAAAATATCCTAAGCAATTGCTGGTTCTTCAAGCCCACTCTGTGGGGCTGTCTTCCTGGCCTGTCACACAGACTCGAGGCACTTTCTTCCCAAAATGCACCGAAATTGCAAATCTTCAGACAAGTTTGGGACAGGCTCTGGTGGGGGGGGGAGGGGGCGTGCATCACCCAGAAGGGTGCCTGGGTTCCTCTCGGGGGCGTCTTGCCTGCTTCGATGTGATTCGCTCGAGCAAAAAGGTGAGCATTGCCCGGATCAAGCCGGACTTCCAGCGAGAGAGGAAAATTTGACTTTTTCCTCCTCCTCGCAGTTTCAAAGAGACTGTTAATCCTCTGCGCCGCTCCCCTCTTCCTCTGCAAAGTTGGTTTTCTAGCTGTAAACTCCGTTCCCATCTCGGTTGCCTTCGAATCGCCGTCAGGAGCCAAGCTGACTTGGAGAAAAGAACACCTTTGTGCACAGAAGGAGAGCCCCCGCGTGGCCGAGCGGAGCCACGCAGAAGGAGGAGACGTTTCGGGCGCGCGCCGGGGCCGGCGGCCGGGGGAGGGCGAGGCCCACCGGAGGCAGCGTGTTTCGTGGAGCCGCTTCGAAAGCGACCGAGGCAGACGGAGCGGCTTTCGAAGTCAGCAAACAAAGCGTCTCCGCAGTAACCGCCCGGCTCTGGGGGAGGCTCCAGCCACTCAGGAGGCGGAGGCGCAGCGCAGGCGCCCGGCTCCTCCTTCCGCGGCCCTCCTCCCACGCCCAGCTCCCGGTCCCAACGGCCGCGAGCCGCCAATCCTGGCGACGGGCCGCCCTTCAAACGCCTGGAGCGCCGCGGCCCCGGAACGGGCGGCCCCCTACACGCCTCGCGTCGGTGGTGCGCGGGCGCAGCCGCTGATTCGTCTCCAGGCGGGCCGGGAAGAACCCGCAAGGGGCAGGGGAGCCTCTGGGCTGGTGGTTCCCCCCCAGGCCTCGGATCCCCTCTCGGCCGTTTCAGACGCGTGTTCTCTTAGGTGCCGAGCCGTCGGCACACCGCAGAGGGGGAAAAAAATCGAAAGGTTTCTGCCGTTTTACAGTGACGCTGTTTTCCTTGTTTATTCATCTTAAGTCCTGTAATGGGGGGGGGGGGAGCAAACACATGCAAGCTTTGTAAACTCTGGCCTTAAGTCACTCGGGGGGTGGGGTGGAGTGGGTGGATGCCTTTTTTTGGGAGGGTGAGTGGGTGGGAGGCTGGCTTTAATTTTCAGTGTAATCCGACAACAGAGGCTCCAAAGTTTTAGTTATGGTTTGGCCGCCTTATTTCTTCTTGGGTTGAACCTTATTTCCACAGAACTTCTGCCGGTTCTTCATCGAGGTTACAAAACAAAGAGTGCAGAGCACAAGCTGGAGGCAGACTCGGGCGCTGACGTCTCGACCGGGCTTATTTACGTTTGGTTTTTTTAAATGATGGGGAAAGTCTTAGTGTGGCATGTGACAGTTCGCTGACTTCAAAACAACGGGACAGACACTCAGAAACTACACCCAGAGGAGAGGGCGGGGAGGGGGCTGCATTTCTTGAAATCAGCCTAAAGTATCTGGACTTTTTTAAATGGGTAATTTCGTCCAGGAACTCCCGCTGGAGCCCGACTAACTCTCAACCAAAATAAACCAACAGGAACATATGTTTACTTAATGGTTAGTTTCTGTTTGAAATACCGGGAGTGGGGTAGGGGGAAAGGGGTCCCCTAGCAGGATGTTAAGTCCTAAAAGTAGACTGTTTACCGAAACAGATGAGCGGCCCCAGGGGTCCGGGGGTGGGGTGTCAGGCCGAGTCTCAGGCGGGGCGGGCGCGCGTCCGGGCCATCCCCAGGCAGCGACTTTTAAAGAGCATGTGAGCATGACAAGTGTCTGTCCGCAACATGTCAGATTTCGAAACTGCCTTGCAATCCAGGCCGGAACTCGCAGCTTTAGCCGGGGGGAACAGACTTTCGCCTAGGGTGTCTGTGTCTCATCCTTCCCCCATCCCCCCGCCCGCCCCCTACTGTTGCTTTGGGAAGAAGAGCCCCGAGAGAAGGGTGCGTCGCTCCGCGCCCGCGCGTGTCAATGGCAGCCGCGCGTCCTGGAAGAAGTTGGTTCTTTTCCCGAATACTTTTCCTGCGCAGCCCCGCCCCTTGAATCAGCAGCGGCTGTCTACTTCTGCGGCCCGAGTCGGGTCGGTGGAGTTGGGGCAGCTGTCAAAATCGAAAGGGGAGGTTTTTTCCTTCCCTGGGGTGGAGGAGGGAACGGCGTGGTTCCCCCCCCCCCCATCTGTTGCAATTTCCTAACCAAACGCACCCTCGCCAGACCCGGGAAGAAAGGCCCAAGGGAGCAACTCAGGGCTGGTGTCGCCGCCGCCAAGCCGGGGATGCGGGCGGCGGGCGCGCGGCGGGGACAAGGGATCGCGTTCCTGGGCTCGGCCGTCCCCACGAGGGACCGGTGACAGCCGCCCCGGGGGCGCGGGGTGAGGCGGCGCGGCCCGGGCGCTCAGAGCGGTCCTCGGCTGCTGGAAGGTGCGGGGGAGGGGCGGAGGGGCGGGCGGGGGACGGGGCGGGCGGCTGGGGGCGGAGGCAGGACCTCCGGTACCTTCCCTCCTTGCCTCGCTCACTCTGACAGCGCCGAGGTGCGCCGAGCAGGAGCCGCGAACAAAGGAGTGGAGTGGGGAGGGGAGCGGGTTGGGCGAGGGAGCGTCCCCGGCCCGCTGCCAGAAGATCCCGGCGGGAGGAAGCCCGAGTGTCACTTGAATTCCGCCCGAGGAGCGGGCGCCTGGGATTCGAGCGCCGCCGGGTTTAGCAATAACGGCTGGAGCGCGTCCTCCAAGTTACGGGAGAGTCGGCCGGGAAGGAGGACGACCGCTCGGCCCCTCCGTCCCCGCTCCTGGCCCCTCGAGACCCCGCTCTCGCCTGGCGTTGGCCGGGAAACTCCAGAATGAAAAGCAAGAAAGGTAAGGCTCGCGGGCGGCGCGCACCCTGGGCGCGGGTCCCGGGGCAACGTGCTCGCCGGGCGGCGCGGGTGACTCGGTGGACTTTTCCGCCCCGGGGGGGCTCGCAGGCCTGAGCCGCGGCAGTCCTCTTTGTGGAAGCTGCGTCTGGAACGGCCGTTGCTGTTTTCCTTCCAGACACAACACGAGGGGCTGTTGTGGGGAGACGGGCCTCTCCACGCTGCTGGCACGTTGTCAAGAAGCACGCTCCGCGCCTTGTTTGTGCGCCTCCAAGTTTCATTGTCTCCAAACCGACACCCCACGCTCCGCCGAGCCGCCGCGTGGCTTCTCGCGGGCGGGGGACTGGGGTCCCGAGTCGGGGGGTACCCCCGCCCCGCTTTTCTCCGTCGGGACCCGGGGTGGCCCGGCCCGCGGGGTCGCGGCGCTTTGTCTGAAAGTTGGACTCCGGGGCTCTCTACTCGCTCCCGGCAGGGTCCGGGCACGACTTTTCCCGGGATGGGGCGTTTTCACGCTCGGAGGAACGCGACTCTGGACCCCAGATCGCCCCCGGGGGGTCGGTCTCTTTGGAAAGTTAAGATTTTCCAGAATTCCTAGCGTCACAAAAGTTTTCCCACGATGAATTTGGGGCAAGAGGAAGAGTTAGGACTGAGGGCGTGCAGTGAGAACGAATCCAAGTGTGACATGCAAAGAGCGAGTCTGTCATTGTTTCCACCAGGCCTTCTGGAAGCTTTACAACTGAAACTTGCCGTCAGTCTGGTTTAAAAACAAAATATACAGAAAGAAAAAAAAAAAAAAGAGAGAGCGTGTGTCCTCGGCCACGTTTTCACTTTGGACTTACTTTCGATTGACCCCGGGCCGGTGACTCAAACACGCGGAGCCCCGCACCTCCCGCTTTGCGGGCGGGAGTCAAACTCAACGTCCCCCCCGCCCCCCCGGGGCGGGGGCGTTGGTAGTTGAGGTTGGACCAACTCCCCGCGTCCCCTCGCCGGGGACCTGGGGGGCTCAGAAGTTTGGATGTTTAACTGGACTGGGAGAGAAAACACGCGCGGGAAGCGCACAGGGTCGTCGGGGGAGGGGGTGTCGTGTCAGTTTGGAGAGGACTGACAGGTTCAGACCGTCCCCGGGAGGGAGGCGTTCCCTCCCTCGTGGTGAACTGCCGGGGATAATTTGGGGGGGAGGGTGTTTCTGATGGGTGCCCCTAGGGGTGCGAGAGCAGGGCTTGGCTTGCCGCATTGTTTGGGTTCTGGCGCGGGCGGCAGGGATGATCCTCCCCGACCACCCCCGGGCTCTGGGGTATCCCCTCCCCACCGTGCCTCCCGTTCCGCTTCCCTCGAAGTCCCCCTCCCCCAGCCGGGGCCCGGCTGGAACCCGCCGGTCCCTGGGGAATCTCCGGGGAGCGCTGCCCCGGGGCGCGCGGTCCTGCCGCCGCGCGCCGACTCATGGAAACAATGAAAGGTGACGTGTTGGAGGGGAAACTTCGCCGACTGGTTCAGAGCCCGTGCGGGGGAGCAGAGGCTGCCGAGGTGGCCCGGGTTTCTTTCCCTTTTTAGGTTTTCCTGGCAAATCCTCCGCGGGTGGGCAGGCCCCTCCGGACGTTGAGATTCACGGCCCGGTTTCTAGTTTCTTCTTGTAATCTGAAACTCCGAGGCCTGGGCGAGCTCTCTCGCTCGTGAGCTCGGAGGGGCGACTCCGGCGGGGGCCGAAGAACTGGCGGAACAAAAGCCTGCGGGCCGGCGGGGGCCGGGCTCCTCCCTCGGCTCGTTCCGCCCGGCCCTGCCTGCCCCCGCCCCGGCCTCCGGCCACCTGGGGGCCCCGCGCCCAGCGGCCTCCGCCGGGGCTCCGGAAGAGACCTGGCCCCGCCGAGCTCGCCGAGTCCGACTATTGTCTGCCTGTCTTACGAAAGTCTGTGAAACTCTTTTCAAGTTTTGTTGAAAATAAAAGCACTTTTTAAAAAAGTCAATCGTGGAGCCGGGGGTTGTAAGAGTGGTTAGTGATAATAGGTGTCCCGCCTTAGAAAACTGAGGATGCCAAAAAGATATCCCCAAGTGACTCTCAAACGAGCAGAAGACTCGTTGAGGAAAATCCCCCAAGTGTCATTGCTCCCGGCTCCTGACGGGGTGGGCTCCTTGGATCTAGTGTCTGGGGTGTTAAGTAGGGTTCCTGTCACTTCTCCCGAGATGTTAAGATCCGGAAACTTGTTAGGTTTCCTTTTTCCTAATAGTACACTTATAAGTTCCCTTCGGTTATTCTTATTCCGAGATCCCTTTCTAGCCTCTTTCAGATTTTATTTTTTAAAGTCCAACTTAACAACCACTATCTCTGCCCCTTCCCAGTGCTCTGCCGCTCCTCTGTTCCTATTCGGGGCGGGGAGTGCTTTTCAGGGTTGTGGGATCCATAGGCCATCTTGTGGCTGTCTAAACAACATTTCCTTGTATGTGGATGGAGTAAGAGGCTTGTGATCCCCGCTTCCCGCCCAGCTCCCCCCACCCCCCATCACCACATTTTTTAAAGCGTGAGCAGAGTAAGACGTTTGGAAACAAGTCGTAACCGGGAGAGCGTTCAAAAGCCCTTTGACAATAGGAAATGAGTAACGTGGAAGAGTCTTTTTGTTATTCCAAGTAGAGCCACAGTCCGGAGGGAGAGTTTTAGTGGAAACAGCCCTGACAGCAGCAAACGTGGTTTGCTGTAGTGAAATACCAGCTGGGGCAGCCAAGGGACTGAAGTCTTAACTTCCTGTTCCTTCAGCTTTGTTAAGACGTCCGGAGGCCTGGCACTCATTGATTCTAGTGAACGGAGAGCAGAGTATTGCTTAACTGGTATCTACCTTCTGTCACTCGCCTGTTTTGAGAGTGACGGCTTATTGTCAAACTAAGTAAGCAGATCAAAGGACACACTTTAGGGGTTTTTTGTTTGTTTCAAACTATTTGTGATTATCAGTTTACAGTTGGGAATTCACTGTTCAGTGTGCAGATTTTAATTTCTTAAGGATTTTTTGGTCAATACTTCTTCACCCAAATTTTAACATGGGTTTTTAAAGGTTTTCATCTGCTCAACAGTGAAAAGCACTTTCAGTTTTAATTTTGCCTCCTTTTTTTGAAACTTTTTTTTTTAAGCAGTTTAATGAAATCTTCTGGGGAAAGAGACATCAGATATGTGGCAGCGGTTAAAATTTAGGATTCTGGGGCCTTTTACTGATGGCTGTTTGTTCATGAAGCCTTGAGCTGAAGTGAATTTGCAAGATCATCCTCCTCTTTTGTTAGAACTTGCTTTACTTTGTCTTTGGAAGTTTCTGCGTTTTCTGCGGACACTCCCTCCGGCACCTTCTGCCCCCTGCTGTCCAAAGCTGAAAATGTGTCAGCAAGTAGAGTTAGATTCAGTTAACTCGTGATGCATCAAATGCTTTAAAAGGAAGGGGTTTTGGAAAAATTCCTTTAAAAGCCATTGAATGGTTTATCACTCTGAGGAATATTCTGTTTTTATTTCCTACCAAGGTAAACTACTTGAGGTTCTGTCAACAACCTTAATGAGAATGCCTACCTTTACATTTCATACTACTTTAATTTCTTTTACATAGAAATACTGGTTTTTAGAGCATATGCTTCAAAAACAAGAATTCATTTTCTTTAGTCAGAGTAGCCTTTTGTAGTTTTGAAAGGGGGCAAGTTAAAGTTCAAAATTTGGGGGCAGTTTCTTGGTTAAGACTCCAAGCTTCCAATGCAGGGGGTTCAGGTTCTGTTCCTGGTTGGGGGAACTAAGACCCCATATGCCTCGAGGCAGAGCCAGGAAAAAAAAAAGTCAAATTTATCTTTAAATGTCTGAAAGGGCCAAGTTTGAATTTTTGTGGAACTCAGTCTAAGTGTGATTTAAATATTCTCTATGGTGTGTGAATTTTTAAAATTTCTGGTAGGATTAAAGTGCCTGTAAACAAAAGAGTTTCCTTTGGGAGTTGCATATTCAAGTTTTCTTTGTCATGTAATGATTTAAAGCGGAATCCTACTTATTGATATGTAGAATTCTAGGTTCAGATTAAGCTGGCAATTGCAATTTATAGAAATTTAAAAATTTACTCAGTATTAGGCATCTTTTGAGGTCTTACATAAGTACTAGAAGTAGAAAAAGCTTTTTATGCAATGAAACTGAAAGCATCAGTGGTTGTTTGTATTTAGTAAAAAGTGACTAGTGCTGTCCATTAAAAGTAGGTGTCTAGTTTTGAATAAAAGGAAGTAGCAGTGAGAAGGAAAAGGAACTGGCAGAAGATTCTGGCATGCATTTTATCTTTCGAATACTAACTGGGTTAAAAGTGTAATTTTCCTTTCTTGTATCAGTGGGAAAAAAATCTTCCATTTTATTTCAAAACCTGCAGTGGAAGAGGGAGGAAGAACAGCGCTTGAAACATGCATTAAGATACTGGCTGGCTTGTTTTTCCCAGTTAGCAATGACCTCACCGAGGAGGTTGTCAGACACATCCCGTCTGCTGTGCCACCTTTCCTGTTTCACACGTGGCACGCTATTCGCCTTGGGTGCAGCTTTGTCTCGTTTGTTGGATTAGACTTTTCTGAGCTTCACTCAAAAAGAATGTGAGTCGTTGAGTCCTGTAGGAAAGTGGGTACAAAAGGGAACCTGACCGTGGGCTGGGGATCTGGAATACGCTGCGAGTCGAATTACCCTGCAGATTTCGCTCTGGTGTTTGAGGACAAAGAAACACCGGTGCTTCCCTGGGCTCTCGGAAGTTGAGAAAATGCGGTTGTGCTGAGTGTCTAAAAGAGGTGAGCTTTGCAGTAGGTGGTCTGCTGATAGAAGCAGCTGATAGCTGGCCTCTGTCCTGTCCTAGGTGTTGTGGCCGCGTCGGGCAGTGAGACTGAAGATGATGACAGCATGGACAGTCCCCTCGACCTCTCCTCTTCTGCCGGCTCAGGCAAGAGAAGGCGGCGGGGCAACCTGCCCAAGGAGTCCGTTCAGATTCTCCGCGATTGGCTGTATGAACACCGATACAACGCCTACCCCTCAGAGCAAGAAAAAGCGTTACTGTCCCAGCAAACACACTTATCTACACTACAGGTGAGGAGAAGGCATTCCCAGGGGTGGTGGGATCCCCCCCCAGAATCACTTTACAGCATTCCTATATAGCAAGTAATAAACTGCCTCCTCACTCAAAGGTGTGGGGGGGGCATATCTTTTTCTTGTAAAGTTTATAGTGCTAACAGCTAATAACTGTTAGCTATCTAGAGAAACAGAAACACTTGACAGTCATCTGTCAAAGAGCATTTCCTTTAATGCCTAAAAGAGCCTTCCTTTATGCACCGAACATAAAAAGGAGGTTAAATCTTACTCTATTGCCCAGGAAACTGGTTTGATATTTAAACAAGGACAGACTTAAGTGAAGTAATTCATGTCCTGTCTGTTGACATAGTCATTTGAACTGGGAAAAAAATCAGTAACTGGGAGGAGTGGCTCTTTTCATACAGGAAGGTTTTCCTGTAGTTGATTAACTTCAATGCTGGGCAGTAGATAATAGGTTAATATGGGGAGAGTTAAAAGGTAAACTTCCCTCTCTAAAATCATTTTCAGATATTTGAGAACATATACTTTTTTTTTTTTTTTCTGTCCTGAAAGGATTTAAGGATGATGAGAAGCCGAAAAGGGAATTTGTATTAGAAAAGAGGAGGTTTATGACAGAAAGCACCTCTCCTTTCTTGGCTGGGCTCGAAGTACCTTGAAATAAATGTGTAGGTTCCTATAAGCTTTTTCATGCCTTCTTTAATGCAGAGAGACCAGTTAGGCATCCTCCAAGAAAGTTCTGGGTTAAAGAATCTGCCTGCCAATGCAGGTGACTCGGGTTTGATCCCTGGACTGGGAAAATCCCCTGGAGGAGGAAATGGCAACCCATTCCAGGAGAATTCCATGACAGAGGAGCCTGGTAGGCCACAGTGTATGGGGTTGCAGAGAGTTGGACACTACTGAGTGATTCAGCAACAAGATGAAGGAGGTTCTCAGGCGTGTTGGCAGAGTGTTAACATGTCTAAAACATCCCCGTACAATTTCAGGTCTGTAACTGGTTTATCAACGCCCGGCGCAGGCTTCTCCCCGACATGCTGAGAAAGGATGGCAAAGATCCAAATCGGTTCACAATTTCCCGCCGTGGGGCCAAGATGACTGAAGCCAGCTCTGTGGAGTCAGCAGTGAGCATTAGGAACCTCATGCCAGCTCTAGAGGAGAGCCCGTTTCACTCTTGTACAGCTGGGCCCAACCCAGGCCTGGGGAGGCCACTGTCTCCTAAGCCGTCCTCCCCGGGATCCATTTTGGCTCGTCCATCAGTGATCTGTCATACCACGGTGACTGCATTGAAAGATGTGCCTTTCTCTCTCTGCCAGTCAGTTGGTGTGGGACAAAACACAGATACACAGCAGATGGCAAACAGCAGCTTTACAGACACCTCCCTCATGTACGCAGAGGACTCCTGTAAGTCTGGACCAAGCGCAAACACACAGAGTGGCCTTTTCAACACTCCTCCCCCCACTCCACCGGACCTCAACCAAGATTTCAGTGGATTTCAGCTTCTGGTAGATGTTGCACTCAAACAGGCTGCAGAGATGGAGCTTCAGGCAAAACTTATGGCTTAACCCCTTTTTTTTCCCCAAGCAAAAGAGTTCTCAAAAACAAATGTTATGATTGCTGGGATGATAGCAAAAGATGAATTTGCATTATTTTATATATTTTTTTATTAATATTTGCACATGGGATTGCTAAAAATGAAGCTTCCTGTTACTGAAATGTCATCAATGGAATACAGTCATTCCAAGAACTATAAACTCAGAGCTACTGTAGAAACAAAGGGTTTTCTTTTTTTAATGTTTCTTGGTAGATTATTCATAATGTGAGATGGTTCCCAAGATCATGTGATTTTTTTTTTTTCCCCCCTTCCCTTCCCTTTTTTTTTTCGTTGGTGTTTTTTTCAGACTGTGCAATACTTAGAGAACCTATAGCATCTTCTCATTCCCATGTGGAACAGGATGCCCACATACTGTCTAATTAATAAATTTTCAATTGTTTTTTCAAACAAGTATGAATCTAGTTGATTGATGCATTTTTTTCATGACATAATAAAGTATTTTCTTTAAAAATTCCTGTAATACAGAGTATTTTTTTGAGGGAGGCACTTCTTAAAAATGAGTAGGAATATAGCACCCCAGTGAGCAGGAAGTTGGGGGTAGGGTGGAGTGTGAGTTGGGGGGTGTCACTAACTCTTTGAACAACTGTGGACAAGCCAGTCTGTATAAACAGGATGTGTGATATTTACTCTTGATAGGAGGCATAGCAGGCCCTTAAATCTTTTCTTAAAACTGCATGACAAATTGAAATGAATCATTTCCATCAGTGTTTAGCTAACCAAAAATCCCTTGGTGGTCTAGACTGCATATTTTAAGCTGTGACCCATGTTGAAAAGGAAAGTCTCGAAGCACCGGAATGTGGCCTAAGTTTTCAGAAGTAAACAACAACCCAAGCAGTTCTTAGTATTGCCTCTGTCATGTTACCTTCTAAAATAACTTTTGTTCAGTGGTCTAGTTAGGTAAGGCCTTCACATTTAAAATCATTTTTCAAAGCACTGTCTAAAATGGTTAAAACAGCAGAGTTGTGTCTCCCACAACTCTGTAGGTTGCCAAATAATTGTTAATTTATTAGGTTTCTTTTCTAAGGTCATGGTTTGGGAAAAGTGGTGCCCGACACAAGTGGAGTTTGTTGGAACAGGCAATTCTTTATGAAGCCAGGATGGCTAGAAGGGGATTGGTGGTGTTCCTTTCACTTACATGGTTGAGTGGGTTTGTCACATGCCACAAAACCATTCTTTGTAGTCATGCTTAGTATGAAGTTTCTTTGTTATTATAGTCATGTTCTTTCCAGCCCTGCCCCAGCTATGAATTGTCCAAGTTTGAGGGAGCGTTAGAGCTTCAGTATTGTTTAAAGAATGTAGAAAAATTCTTGCAAACTCAAGTTTGTCTAATTTTGAAATTCTGTTTAGAAGGTCTCTACAGTAAAAAGAGCTATGAACTCTTTCTAAGTGGAAGAGAAAAACTGATGAGGACAACTAAGAGTTGAAAGAAAAACGAGGGAGAAGGCAGATGCTCTAGTCTGAGAGGGAGGCAATAATGAAGGGGGGGCACGTCAGTCTGGCCTAGGCCCACCTCAGAGTCGTAGAAATAGACAAAACCAAAAATGAAATAAAATATAAAAGGAACAAAGTAAACAAAAATGAAATAAACTGCAGGCAATTAAGAATCATTACTGGCTTTAATAGCTAGATCAAAGGCTGGAATTCTTTGAGCGCAGATAAGGGAGGCCAGCAAATCCTGAAAGGCTTCCCTTGATAAGACATTTCATTAATCATACAGTGGGGGGAGCAGGAGGAAGCAGTCATATGAGTGATTTAGAAGAAAAATAAATGTCAAGGGTCAAATGAAACCCAAACATTAAAAAAAGAAAAATCACCCCAAATAGAGCCAGGTGGATAAATAACTGGTATATAATAAACATAACTGGGAAAGTACATGTAATAAAGTATTTATTTAAGTTGGAGACAAATAGAAATAATTTTTATGCTTAGTATCTAAATGGTATATCTTTTCTCATTTAATTTGTGTTTAAAGCTCATCTCTTTAAGAATAGAATGCATTTGGGTCTTCCTTTTTAATTTAGCCTAACAATCTCTGCCTTTTACTTTGTGTGTTTGGTTGATTTATATTTAATACGATTATTGATATGTTTGGGTTCAGTTTACCATTTGGATTTTTTTTTCCCCTCTCCCTGTTCCTCTTTTCCTGCCTTTTTTGGGGTTAGTTGAATATTTTACATACTTTGTTGTTAAGTTTCCTATTCTCTTTCAAACTATATTGTTTTTAATGGTTCTTATGGGATTGCAATATACATCTTTGATTTATCACAATCAACTTAGAATTAATATTATACAACCTCATACAAAATATAGAAACTTGTAACAGTATAGTTCCATTTACTCTCTTTTGTTGTTTTTTAATATATATTTTAGTTATAACTGATAAATCCAACAGTATGTCATAATTTTTGTTTGAAACAGGACTATGTTTTTTTTTTTTTTTTTTCAAAAAAATAAAAAGAGATTGTATACAGGCATACCTTGGAGATATTGTGGGTTTGGTTCCAGACCTCCACAATGATAGGAATAGCACAAAGTGAGTCACACAAATTTTTCGGTTTCCCAATCCATATAGAAGTTATGTTTATACTGTATTCTATAAAGTGTACAGAATCATTAATCCAATGAAAAAGTATCTAACTTAATTTAAAAATACATTTATTTGCTAAGAAGTAACTAACCATCATCTCAGCTTTCAGCGAGTCATAATCATTTTACAACACTTAATAACATCAAAGATCACTGAGGAAATTCCCTGGTAAGTCCAGTGGTTAGGACTCTGCTTTTGCTGCCAAGGGCATGGATTTGATCCCTGGCTGGGGAACAAAAATCCCATAAGCTGCAGAGGTGCAGCCAAAGGCAGGAATAAAAAAGATCAATGATTACAGGTCACTATAACAAATATGATACAAGTGAAATAATTTGAATTACTGTGAGAATTAACAAAAGGTAGCACAGAGACATGAAGTGAACAAGTGCTGTGGCATTGATAGACTTGACATAAAAAATACAACATCTGCAAAGCACAATGAAGCAAAGTGCAATAAAAACAAGCTATGCCTGTATATAGTATTTTTTTTAATATTTCAGTTCAGTGCAGTCACTCAGTCGTGTCCGACTCTTTGCAACCCCATGGACTGCAGCACGCCAGGCTTCCCTGTCCATCACCAACTCCTGGCACTTACTCAAACTCATATCCATAGAGTGATGGTGATGCCATCCAACCATCTCATCCTTTGTTGTCCCCTTCTGCCTTCAATCTTTGCCAGCATCAGGGTCTTTTCCAGTGAGTCAGTTCTTCACATCAGGTGGCCAAGGGACTCTCAAGAATTCTCCAACACCACAGTTCAAAAGCATCAATTCTTCGGCGCTCAGCTTTCTTTATAGTCCAGCTCACACATGCATGCATGACTACTGAATAAACCATAACTTTGACTAGATGGACCTTTGTTGGCAAAGTAATGTCTCTTCTTTTTAATATGCTGTCTAGGTTGGTCATAACTTTCCTCCAAGGAGCAAGCGTCTTTTAATTTCATGGCTGCAGTCACCATCTGCAGTGATTTT